TCATGCAAATGTTACACGTGGAAGGTGTAGAGCAAAATTTACACATATAAATATTCTTAATCAATTTCAGTTCTCTTCATCTCCCTCTCTCTATCACTCTTATTAGTTTTTATTTAAGGTATAAAGTATGCAAGAGTGTTCAGTATTCGACTATACAACAACAATGAATCTTTTCCTCTTGTTGGCTTTTAAACGTTGCGCCCCCGCAAGATAGTTGCAGAAGCATAGATGAGAGTCGCTGTAGCTTTTGTTGTTGTTGCAGTTGCGGTTTATGCTTTTATGGCACTGTTGTTCTTCCTCTTCTGCTTCTTCTTCTTCTTCTTCATGTTCTTCTTCAGTGGCGAGTTGTTAACTTAAATATTTGCGCCTGGCCATGCCGAGCAGCCCATTTAGAGACGATCTTTCACACAGATGCCACAAGAACTTGTTTTCGCTGCCCTTGCCCAAATGCAGTGTCAACTAACTATCCCTCCCCCCCTTGGGACCACACTGTGCATAACTGTGACCGCTGTGCACAGTTGACTAGAAGGATTTGGTCAGGCATTCAGCTGCGCTTTATAGCAAATCACAAAAGGTATTAAATGGGGGCTATTAGCTGCCGTTTATTGTAGTCGGGAACACCCACGCGTAATAAGAAAGAGAGGCAAAAAGAGTGTGGGAGAGAGAAGAGAAGAGATGTGGATAACTGTTGACAATTAACTGATAACAATTCATTTGCATTTCGTGTGGGCGCCCCTCATCACACACATCTGCCATTCAGTTTCCATTTAGTGTGATTTTTTCGGTTAATTTGACAGCCGAAATTTGATGAGCCGAAAAAAGTCAAGTCAAGTTTTAAGTGGCAATCGCATCAAAGCGAATCAAATCGGAATCGAATCGAAAACTGTGAACAGGTAAACACTCCACAACAAACCATCTTTAAGATCTTCGACCATTTATGCCAGCTTATCAGACCAGGTATACGCACTTTAACAAGCTCTTCGTAACGCACAGTGCCCCCCCAACAAAAATATGAAGGGTCTCCAAATTAATTTAACTATTCGAAATTAAGTTTTATGCTTCCAGTGAAAACGAATTTCAATTATTCTTTGAGAAATTACCGCTCAGAAAATTCTATTAAAATTTATTCAGCTAAAATTTGTGATCTCCACAAGTGATCTAAAAATTTTCTCACTTTTGCTATTAAATAAAAAGAATATCGAATAAAAGAATATGGTCATAAAAATGAATTAGCATATAAAAGCACTTAAAGTGCGTTGCAGTTAGCTGAAGTAACGACTGTGAAATACCCTGTATTGTTACTATATAAACTGTACTACTATATGAACAGCTGTTGGTCTGGAGTCTATAGGTCTGGTCTATAGGAGAGTAGCCTAACCCTTGTATATATTATATAATAGATTGTCCAATAGAATTTTTATTAGACTTGAAGTTGAAGCTAGATTTAAAGACTAGGAGCTTTATACTGTATAATAATATCATATAATACAATAATAGTATAATATCAAATATACCCCGTGTTATACCCCATAGACCTACAAAAAAACATAGTATATCTTAGAGCATTTGAATATGGCTAGAACTTCGATTTCAATTGAAACTGGAACTGGAGTGGGAGCAGCATGTGTCAGCAGAATCGAGAGTTAGGATCATTTGATTATGGAACTGACGTTGTCTGCATTGCAATTTGCTTGTTTTGTTTGCCCCGTCACGCAGGCACAGTTTGTTATTTTTTTTTCTTTCTTATGGGCTGGGCCGACAATTTGGAGCAATATGCAATGTCATATGGGCTCCCCACTCTTGTCTATCTCTGTCTCTGTCTCTGTCTCTGTCTATGCCCCAAAGAGTTGGCCATAAATCGCGCTCATGTGTCCGAGCGAATTGTCAAATGTATGCGCTGAAAAGATCTTTTGACACCGTTCAGCTGCGCTACCACAGAGTTCCGTAGATAATTTATTTGATCACGCTTTCCCAGACGATGCGACGTTGACGGAAGCGCACGAATCGGCAATTCGCCAATTCGAGATTTCCCACAGACAAAGTGAATCTCGACTCGAATTTGTTAGCATTAGACGCTGCGATCAACTGATCAATTGATCAACCGATCGCTGATCGCAGCAAGCGCTGATCGTCGCGCGGCCTTGACGCCTTATTAAGCATGAACATGCGCAAAACAATTATAAACAACTTCCTCGTTGTTAAGGATAAGCTATAGATGACAACCCACTAATTAATTCGAAACACTGTTTAAGAATTTTAATGATCAAAACTAGAAAACAAAATGGAAATTCCATTGGATTCGCTTTTCCACATAACTCACACCAATTTTCAAGTATTTTTTAATTTCTAAGTAATTTCTAGGTTTTTTGAACTAGTATTTTACTGCCTATTTTAAACCAGATAAAACATTTAATTTCCAATCAGTTTCTTCCGACTGCGCTATATTTCTTTTGAACCTCAATTTGGGAATAGAATGTCAAGGAACTGATCGTATTTATATCACATTTTGAGGAATGGAACTAGTTCTTTTTATAGCCTGACCCCATTGAGCTTAAACTGATTTACTGCCATTAGTTCCAGATATACTTTGCATAGCATTTGCTCCTAGTTTGATAAATGAATCGAAACTACTGGAACCAGCTGCCTTCGAAAAGCTCTTGCCTAGTAGGCTTTGCTTATAATTCGCCTCGTTGTGCTTCAAACTCTAAACAGTTTAAGGACAACAAGTAAATACATCTTGGCAATAAACAAAAATTTCTTGACACACATTTGTTGTAGGCAAAAATTATTCCAAAAAAAATAATAACCATATAAGGACCATGTTCTCGTTTGTCTTTTGGAGGAACGAGGCCAAGAGGAACCCGCGCGAGAATGTCTCGCAAATCTGGAAGGATTTGAATGCAACATTTGTGACGTAAGCATAGGGAGAGAGAGAGAGAGTGAGAGAGACAGAGAGATGGAGCTTGTGACTTCTAATGCGTGTCTATTGCAGCTTCCTCGGCTGGAGCTGGTTGATTTATACCATTGCAGTCATAGTCATCTCCATTTGCGGTTACTTCGCCTACTGCGAGAGCTGCCGAAGAACTGAGATTGTCCGACGCAGACGAGTCATTCAGCGAGCCCAGGAACGGTAAGGCTTAAGACATGGAAATAAATATTTCTATGAAATAGTTAACAGTCAACCTATCATCCGCTTCCAGAGGGAGGGTATGACATCTTCACTTATTTTTAACACGCTCTCTCTTCCTTCTATTCAAAATTAAGTTCCTAAAAAAACTGAAATATTTTGTAACTCTGCAATGAGCGACCCCATTTCATAGCTGTTTACTTAGCTCTCCATCCCAATTTCTCTCGCATTGTAGCCATTAACTGCTCGTTTATCTTTATTGCAGACCACCTCAGAAGCGTCGTCCGAATGCTGCATATCGCGATCATCAGATCTATCGGCACATCATCCTCAGCGTGGCCAAGTACATGAAGAATCCAGAGGGAGTGCGGCCCTTCATCGACCACATGGACCATCTGTATCCGCTGCGGCACTCTCAGGCCGAAATGCAATTGAACATTGGCCACTCTGCCATCGAGGCGAATGCCGGTGCAGTGGATTGAGCAAGAAGAGAGCTTTTGTCACCTGCTGCTATTTTGATTCTATTTTCATTCATTTTCGTTCAAATTATCGAACAGACCAATTTAACCTGTAAATTTTGATAACCGCCCCTCGCCCCCCCTTTTATGCCAACCATCATACTGTTTAAACGAATACAAAATTAAAGACAGACGTTCCGCACCGTTTTCCATCTTCTGCGCACTCGCCGCAAATGCGGCCTAAAAATATGCAATGGCTATTTATAACAGCAGAAGAGTCGCCGCGGCGCGCCGCTTCCAGTCAGGCGACTTGGAAAGACCAACAAATATAAACAAATGCCATGTGCGTTAAAAAAGCTCGGCGAAAAAAGCGTCGCACATAAACTAGGCGAAAGCTCACACTCACACTTTCACGCTCTCTCTCTCTATCTCTCTGCCTCTTCCTGTTGCGTGTTGTTGCAGGCGCACGTTCCAGCTCGCTTTCGTGTGCTCTCGCTCTCTCTTCTCGGGGCGTTAGTCCAATTGAAGTTCGATATACTGGCTCAGTCGCCAGTCAGACATTCAGCGTGTCGCACGTAGGCACGCATCGAGCAGCAGCAGCAGCAGCAGCAGCAGTAGCAGCAGCGCGGGCGCGTTCAGTGGTTGTTGGAAACAGTCAGACACAATCACACCCACACACAGGCATACAGCGGCCAGCAAACAAAATTTTCTGTTCTTTCTGTTCCGCTTTTGGTCAACAAAAAAAAACGTTTTTCATTTGATTATACTCTTCAACTATTTTGTGTGTCAACTGGAAACACGGGCGAAATAAAAGTAAAATCAGGAAATTGCCGAAATTTACAATTTTCAGCAAGTAAATTATGCAAATATATTTAATTAACTTCTGAATAATTGAAAAAAGAGAAGAAAAAAAAATATATAAGTCAAGGCGCACACCTGCGCACATGTTACACAGACACTGCGTGTGAGAGTGTGTGTGTGTGTGTGTGTGCTCGTGCTCGCTTGTGTGTGTGTTGAAGGCTAAGCGAAGCAGCAGCAGCAGCCGAGGCACAAGAAAAGCCAACAAGTAAAACAAAAAAAAAAAAGACTGTGTGGCATGTGCCCCAAAAACATTGGGGCAACATCAATGCCAGCTAGCACGTGTGTGAAAATTCAATGAAAATTGTGAAAATTACACGAAGTCTCAGTGTTACTTAAAATAATGATAAATAAATTGCAACCAAAAACTAATAAGAATAAGAAAAACTTTATAAATGTGGAAAAGTGATTGAAAATATATATTTTTTAATTTTTAAACACTTAAAACCTTTACATGAAATTTTGTAAATTAAAGTTTTAAAACATTTTCAATTTTTTTTAAATTAATTATGCGAGAGAGACAAAATAGAAAACAAAATATTAAGAGGTGCAAATTTATAATTCGATTTATATTATTATTTAAAAATTTATATATAGACTCTTTTAAAATAATTTTTATATTTTGCATTATTTGAATGCTCGCTCAAAACTCAGATATTCAAAATTTAAATTTAAACAAAGCAATCAAAATATAAAAACTATATAGAAAGTCAAAAGTATTAGTGGACAATAAATTATAAATTTAAATTTTGAGACAAAAATATAATTATATAAACACTTCTATATAAAACTGCATAAATAAACTTTGACCTTATCAATAGCTCAACTTTTCTTATCATCAAATTACAAAGGCAGCTGTGCGCCATAGCGTGTTTTCACTGTGCCCCGACAAAATCCCATCTAATGCCCCACATTTACATTTATCTAAATGTTATTTTAAGCCCAAATCTAAATTGTTTAAATAACACTTTGATTTCCTTATCTAGAATTTAACGTTCACGTATAATTTATTTAAATACATGCATTAAAATATTATTTGATTGATGTATGAGTGTGCGGCGCGAACGGTAATAAGACTCGCCCACGCACCTAGACATTTGATAGTTTTTTCTGAACCGTTGCAGCCAAACAGCCAAGTGATAAAGACAAAGTGTTCAAGACAAAATGTAATAAATATATAATTAAATATACAACAAGAAAAACACCAATAACAACAACAGCAAACGAAAACAAAATCAAATCAGTAACAAACAAAAAAATTATATATAATAATAATGTTGAACAGCACTCAAAAGATGTCAAGTCAAAGGTGAGTATACAACACTGGCTGCAGCCATAGACACACCTAGAAACAAGTACAGCACACATACACTCACACTCACTCACACACTCACACACATCCTACCTCAACAGTAGCTAGCGAAGCAACAAAGCAAAACATAAACAACCCCAAAATACCCGCAAGAGCCAAAGCCAAAGCCAAAGCCAAAGCGAAAGCCTAACGGTACTAGCTGTCAAATGCTGCGCAGCAGCTGCGTCGCGACGTCTCTGTAGCTCTTGTGCAGCTGAGCCTCAAATAGGCAGCGCAAACAAGCAAATTTACTTGAAAAGCTCAATGCAAAAAATGTTTGGCTAGCGAGCAGAGACAGAGGCAGAAGCAAAAGCAGCGAGCAGAGACAGCAGACAGAGGCAGCGGCACAAGCAAAGGTACAAGCAGCGGCACAGAAAGAAGAAAAGGCAGAGGCTCAAGCTAAAGGCAGCTGGCAGAGGCTAAGGCAGTAGCAGCGCAGTCAGCAGCCAGTTGAGATTAGCCGCAACCAAAGCCAAGTCGCTGCGTAAATATTGAAAAGCTCATTTGAGCAGCGCTGCCTACGTTGCTACAGTTTAAGTGTTACATTTTCTCTCTCACACACACGCATACATACATGCTACTTTAACAGCCATTGGACTTATCAATTGAAGCAGATTAAACAGTGCTTGCAAAAATACGATTTTGTTAAATAAGTTCAAATTAGAAGAAAAAGAGCGTAAAGTGAAGCTTTTCAACTTTAATAAATCGACGAACTTTTCGTATTTAGATAATTCGCTTAAATTCGATATTTACTATTTGGGTATATTGCATGCGTATCCTTTTCTTTCGCTTCGCTACATTTTATGAACAACTTTTGTTTTATAGGCAATTTGTCTTTTGTGTGCGAGTGCGGGAGGTTGGAGATGGATGGATGGGCAGCAGTAGGTGGGGCTAGGTCGTGCTACTGTCATAAAATTGAGCCGAGCCCAGCTGAGCTGCTGCTGCCGCTGCTGCTGCTTCTGCCTGCGTGTCCTTGCGGCCTTATCTATAGCCGCTTTCTTCGGCTTTCTTTGCTTGCCCGTCAAGTTGTTTATTTTGTCGTAAATTTTTTGCTCAAGGACGAACCACCGACAGGCCGAGTGAGTGAGTGAGCGAGTGGGTGAGCGACCAACCGCCCGCCCGTATCATAATCATGAAACAGACATGGGCCACTTTATCGATCACACAATGGGAAATTTCACACCTTGCCACCGGCTGTGGCGCCACCAGCTCAGCGTGCTACGCCCCACTTCAAGGTCGTCTTTGCTTGCCTTTTGCATAATTCAAGGGTCTTCAGATCGAAGCTCGCTTTCACTCTCTCTCCTTCTGTCTCTCTCTCTCGCTCTCTGCTTCTGGCACAGTTGCACGTTTTCACACATGGCTGGCTGCATGCAACATTTTGCGCTGCGCGTCCAGCGCACAAATTGCATTGCATACTTCAAGGCTGGCCTCTAATTTACATGCCAAATGGCGCATGCCGCACACTTTTCCTCACTTTGCCTTGCCCTCTTCTTCGCTTTGCCACACATTTCCCTCTTACGCTTTTCAATTTCACCGCCGTTTTTCTTGTTAGGCCACCCTTTTGTTCTTATTGCCACATTTATGAGCTGCGACGTAATTGTTTTTCTTTCCACCCACGCCTTCAATTAGCCCAGCTGCAACACAATACTGCATAAATGTATATGTATGTATATGTGTGTATATGCATATATGCATACATATATGCATATTCATATGTATTATGCGTGGGTTTTTCCAAGAGTAACTTGCCATTGCTCAGAGCGATTAAATAAGTAGAACACAAGCTTAACTATTAAATAAGAAAAAGAAAAAACATTGATTTTTTTTTTTTTTTTTTTGGTATTATCTATACGAAAAAATTTAGACCACATAGTTGAATGAAATAATAATAAATAATAAATTAATAAAAATAAATATTCATATATACATATATAATTTTAATACTAAAATAAAAGTATGTAAAATGAAACAGATAACGTTCTTAATTGTAACAATTTTTTTTTTTTTTTTTTCAAAACCAAGCAAAAAAAAATGTATATAAATATGATTAAAAAAAAAAAAAAAATTATTTCTTCTCAATCTTTTATATCATAAAAAAAAATAATTTGTTTAGTTCTGTTTGTTATTCAAAAAAGTTGTACCATAAAATTTTATACAAGACTTATTACAAACAAGTAAGAACGTTGCAGTCGGGCGTTACCGACTGCGGAATACTCATTCACATCCCATCAACAATTTAGTAGTTAAGTTTCGCTCTAATACTGTAGAATATACAGGTTTTTCCGATTTGCCACGCCCCAACTGGGCGTAGACACCTCATTTTTGGTCAGTTTTTAGAAAGAGATAACGGTACCCTAACTGCAAAGTTTGAATGCTTACCCTCAAGAAATGTGAAAATTACAGGGTATTTTTCGATATGCCACGCCCCTATAGAGGCGTAAAAATTATTTTTGGGGAATCGATAGAGAAGGCTACCAGTAACTCAACTATCCAAATTTGAAGCTTCTAGCTATTATACTTTTGGAGATATAAACTTTTGCGGTTTGCCACGCCCCCTGTGGGCGGACATATATCCGACAAAACTTTTTGGTCTTGGGTGATCAGTCCGAGTATATATACAAAATTTGAGGTCTCTGCTATCAATAGTGTCCAAAATATAGGAGAATTTAAAAAATCACTATATCTTCAGGTCCGATTTGCCACGCCCCCAATGGGCGTAGACTTATAATTTATCTTTAGACTTTATAGAATCATACCATTAGCTGACGTGCAAAATTTCAGCATTCTAGGTTGACAACTTTAGGAGATACAGTTTTATCCGATTTGCCACGCCCCCAATGGGCGTAGATATATCCGCCATAGCTTGTGATCTTGGGTGGTCAACGCGGACCTACATACCAAATTTCAGCTTTCTAGCTCTTCAACAAACATGATTTCTGGTATATCGGAAAATGCATTTTCCGATTTGCCACGCCCCTAGTGGGCGGATCGGGAAAATTTTAACACTTTATAAATCGGAGATATACACGAGTATGTGTTCCAAATTTCAAGTCTCTAGCTTCAATAGCGCCGAAATAGATTGCGTTCATACGGACAGACGGACAGACGGACGGACGGACAGACGGACAGACGGACAGACGGACGGACAGCAAGACGGACATTGCACAAAACCAATATACTGATTCACTTTCGTGAATGAGTATAAAAAAAAAATAAATAATTAAAAATAAAAATAAAAAAATTATTGCTTATTAAAAAAAATGTTTAAGTAAATTATTTTATTTATTTTTTTTTTTTTTTAATTATTAATTAAAATTAAATAAAATCGCAAAATGTTCAAGACCATCGTTCAATCGCAACAAAAATGTTTGAATCAAAACAAAATTTATTAATGTAGATGATTCAAGGCAAGGAATTAATATATTTTTCTTCTTAATAAATTAACTTTTCCAATTTATGTTTGAATATTATAAAAAGCATACTTAAATTTGAAAAATTTATGTTCTTACTAATGTGAATAGCCATATTAAATTATTTTTCGAAACAGAATACAAAATAAATCTTCGATTTATATAATCGCAATAAATAACATAGAATACTTCTTATATGGTTTCTAAATATTTTGACATATATAGCGCACTCTGCTAATTTTATAGCACCAAAGTGCCCTTTGTATATTTAACGTAATTAATGTTTACAAATATCCACTTAATTAGTTATTTCCAAAGTGTTTAAGCACGAATGCTTTATAGATAGACCGCAACATAATATGCCCACACTTACCTGATCAAATCGTTGCATATGCCTCTCTATATATACAGAGATGCATGTATATATAGCTCATTTATTATATTATAAGTATGTATGTATGTATGTGTGTGTGTATATGCATGTGTCTGTCACATATTCTCCGAGCTGAACGCGCCTACGCCAAGATTTACGACCGCAACGTGTGTTTGGGCCACGTCGCGTGTTCCGTACCCCCCTCCCTCCCCTGCTGCAGTCAAACATCTGTTATCACTGAGCCGCAAGCCAAAATGAGAATTAGAAAGTAAGAGTGAATGGTAAATACATAAAAACAAAAACCAAACACATACATATATAGTATATACATGATATAGTATGTACACATGCCAAACAACCGAGTGCTAAATATAAAAACATGTGGGGGAAAAAAAGCCAAATACATTTCGGCTAAGTAGAAATTGTGGCAAGATTTTATGGAATTACGTATGGACTATGAAATTCTCTATATATTTGTGAAATTGTCGAATTCCAAGGAATCTATATAGAGCATGAGCTAGTCACTAGGCGAATATATTAAATATATAGATAGAAGATATATAGCAGGTATATAGATGTCTGAAGAGCTTCGTCCGACTTTCACTTATAAGAGTGAAATATGGCTGGAAAAGGCAGAGCATCTATTTTAAGCTTAGCGTCTAATTTTTTCAACATACATTATACATAATTTAGTAACAGATAATTTCAATCTGACTAATTGATTGATTGCTTGACTGAAGAGCTATGATGAGCTTGAAGAGCTAACCAGAGAGGAAACTAATGCAGTTTGAGAGCTAAGCAGGTCGAATTCCGATGCCTATGTAAGCTGATTGAAGCCTGAACTTAAATGATATAAATATTTCTATTGCTTGGCTGATTGACTGACTGAACAGCTAGAGAGCTTTACTATTCATCCCAGTAGCCTCTTTTGATTTATATATAAATAATATATTTTATATACTTGTTAATGTAGAAAGATTTATTGACAGACTAGCAGACTAGATAGATCAGAGCTCTTGACTTTTCTGATTGAAGTATATTTATATACAATACATATATAACTAGATTAACTGATTGATTGACGATTGATTGATTAATAGTACACCCTTTGAATTGTATTGAGTTTTTAATATATTGATTGACTGACTGATTGGCTGATTGATGAGTAGTGCAGA